TTGCAAGTCTCCAGTGAAAGCTTAGTAACTGGGGAGCCAGGATCACACATTATCGTTTCTAGCAGTGGGTTTGCTTCTACAAAGTTAAAGAGGCTGCTCTGAATTTTTAAAAGAAAAGACAGTTCTTTAAAAAGACTTTCAGTGTTTTTGTTTTTTGGGGTGGGGTGGTGCTGGTGGTTAGATTTTGGGCAATATTTCCCAAAAAAAGTATCCTGAAAGGACTTTTATTCATACAAAAGTTCATAGTTATCATTCTGGTAATAGTTATGGTCAGTTTTGATCCGTGTCAGTCAGTAGACTGACATTAAATGGCTATTTTGTGCAGCACTGTACTAAGTGCTGCTTAGCAAGGAGCTCAGAATCTATTGGAGGAGACAATGTGGAAACTTTATACAGGATAAATTGGAAGTAAACAGTGGGGAGGCACTAGAATTAAAAGGTATCAGGCAGGGCTTCTTGTAGAAGGTGAGATTTTAGCTGGGACCTGAAGGAAGCCAAGAGGTAGAGATAAGGAGAGCATGGAGTGATGGGGAGATTGCTGTGAAAATGCCTAGAGTCTGGAGATTGGAGTGTCTAGTGTGAAGAATGGCAAGGAGAGGCCAGTATTACTGGATTGCAAATTGGGAGGGAAGAGATTGGCAAGTCTAAAGAATGGAAAGGTAGAAAGGGGTCAAGTTATGAAGAGCTTTGAACACCAAACAGGGTTTTATATTTGATCCTGAGGGTGATTTGGAGACACTGGAATTTATTGGGGGGGGGGTATTACCATGTGACCTGCACGTTAGGAAAATCACTTTGGCAGCTGAGTGGAAGATGGAATGGCATGGGAAGAGACTTGAGATATGGAGACTCACCTATAGTCTACTGTAATATGCTGGCCTAAGGTACACCGGATTAGTGGTGTTGTCAGAGGAGAAAGGGGGGCATCTGCAAGAAATATCACTAAGTTAAAACTGAAAGGCCTTGGCAACCAATTAGATATGGGGGCTGAGAGAGAATGAGGATGATACCTAGGTTGCCAGCCTGAAAAATTGGGGTATGGCACTTAGTAGGAAGACAGTGACCATACAGGTATTTAATAGACTGAATTATTATTCTGTGTTTATAGAATACTTATGTTGCATCTCTGAGATGTATTCAGTTGGGGCACACCTCAGTTCTAATTGTAAATACACGAAATTTGGCTACACAGCCAGAAATTTGAGGTGGTTCTGTGGTATCTCATTTAGTGGTGTTTTTTGAGTCCACACCTATGATTTCGTTATTATAGGGAGCTCTCAATGAGGAAACCCCCTCTACCAGTAGAGATCAACAACTGTCTTTCAACATTGAAATTGTTCCAGGGCACTGGGGGAGTAAGTGACATGCCCAGGGTAGCACAACCAGTGTGGGTCAGAGGCTAGACTTAACAACCTATAGCTTTCTGATGTAGCCTGACTTTGGATCCTGTACTATACTAGTTCATGTTTTTACTTAAAAAAGAGATTTGGAAAATAGCAAATTGAATAGCTATGAAGCTTCTTTTGTTTAATGCTTTGTTGGTACTATTAGCTATTTTCAAGATGGCAGTTTATAATGGTTCTAGTTAGCTGCCGAGTTTTACAAAAGAACATCCTATCACTAATTTTTTACTTTGGGACTTAGGGTCTTATAAAATCAAGACATTATATAGACTAATGGGTTGTACTGTAAAATCATTATTGTTTTTAAATTCTTGCAGGTTTCAACGTAGAAACTGTAGAATACAAAAACATTAGCTTCACAGTGTGGGATGTAGGTGGCCAGGACAAGATCCGACCCCTGTGGCGCCATTACTTCCAGAACACACAAGGTGAGTCATAGATTTGGGTCCTTTCACCTCCTACCCCAAGAATCAATTGATGCTTCAGGGCTGTGCTAGGTACTGAGAGAGAAACAAAGCTATAGGCCTCTGCTCTCCATACTAATAGTTAATTTTCTTGAGCACTTGGAGACTTATAAAGTGTTTTCCCACAAAATCCTATGAGTCAGGTAGTGCAAATACTATCCAATTTACAGATCAGGACCCCAGCCTCAGAGAGATGAACTGGTTTGCCCAAGGTTGAGGAATGCAGACTTGAATTCAGGTTGTCCAACTCTCAGTCCAGTTCTTTCCACTTATACATTGAAATCCTCTATATGTAACTATAGTGTAGCATAGACTGTAAGTATATGGAAGGTATCACAGGGATATGGAAGTATTAGATTTATTAAGAAGTCTTTAATGGAAAGCTTTTGGTGACTGAGTAATTATTTTTTTCCTTCAGATGTATAACATTCTGGTAGTGCCAGAATTCTTTTTTTCAATAGTCATCCTATAATGGTGTATATCAATAAATTTTCATTTGCTTTGATCTCTTAGCTATGCCAGTTAGTATTTATAGGATAATTAGCACAGTGTATCTTAAGACAAACTAACAAACCTTTAAGAATGTGTCTTACAACCTTCTTGAAATGCTGCTTTCTTATTTTGTAGGACTGATTTTTGTGGTTGACAGTAATGACAGAGAACGAGTGAATGAGGCCCGAGAAGAACTGATGAGAATGTTGGCAGAGGATGAGCTTAGAGATGCTGTCTTATTAGTGTTTGCTAACAAACAGGTAGATGTTTGAAGAATATTCAGAATTGTTTGCCTTGCTGAGTTTGTTTTGTGGGTGACCAGAAAATGTGAGAGTTGGTATTTATTGCTTATGTGTCATAGAATCTTAAATTGTCAGAACTAGAAAGGACATTTGAAAGTATCAAGTCTACCCCCTTTATTTTACAGAGGAGGAAACTGAGGCCCCAATAAGAGGATGTAATATACTTTAGTTACAAAGCAGGTCAGTAGTTGAGTCACAACTAGAGCCCAGGTCTAAAATTATTGTCAGTTTGTTGTGGTCTTAACTGTACCAAGACTACTGTGCCCCATTGTAGGCTTTTATATTTTGAAACGGTAGTAAAAAGGATTGCCACCTGTGGTGGGTGAAAGATGAAATGACTGAAGCAACAAAGGTTCGATCTTCCAAGCATGTCACTTTATTAAGCAGTGCGTAGCAGTTGCCCAAAAAACCAGGACCAAATCTCCTCAGCTTAGGCCTGGGCTCTTAATATAGGGGGAGATGGATTTATACATTAAAAACAAATAAGACCAGTTAATTAAAAGGAAACAATACAAATTAGGTAATCTGATTTCTAATTGGAGGAAAGATTAGGGACTTTCCAAATTGGGAGGGGGAGAGGAAACAGGTACAATTCTCTGAATTCAGAAAAGGAGAAAGGGGTATGTACAATCAGAGATGGTCTAGAGAAGAGTGTTGAGGGTTGACTGGCTGACTGGTAGGGAGAGATTTGGTTATATTCGTGGAGGGACTTCCTAGAAAGGTTAACCACAGATAGGTTGCTGTGAGAGACTATAGAAAAGGTACTAGATCTAAGAATAGCAGTGATCTCTTTTGGGGGTTGGCACTTGGGGAGGAGCCTGGCCCAGAGTAGTCTTACCTGGATAACAGGACTCTGACCCTTTGAGCTCACATGGCTTCTGTCATTCCATTCTGAAAACCACTTTCCCCCCTCTTTTTTACCAGGATCTTCCCAATGCCATGAATGCAGCTGAAATCACAGATAAACTTGGACTGCATTCTCTTCGTCACAGAAACTGGTACATCCAAGCCACCTGTGCCACTAGTGGGGATGGGCTCTATGAAGGACTGGACTGGTTGTCCAATCAGCTCCGAAACCAGAAATGAATCGACAAAAGTTCCTCCTCCCTTTTTCCTTCTCTCCCTCTTATTTCCTCCTATTCGCCCTTCGCTTTACTCTCATGTGGCAAACTGTGCTACTTTGTGGTATTGAGTGCCGGAAGCTGTTTTTTCCTACCCCTTGTCACAGTATGTATTGCACCATGCTGTAAATGTGGCAAATACAGGCCTGAAAACAGGTTTCTTATTTAATGTAAATAGTTTTTGTTTCCAATGGGGCAGTTTCTGGCACTCCTATGCAATATTACTCAGCTTTTTTTATTGTAAAAAATCAACTCACCGTTTAGTACTGGGAAGGGATTTTAAGCACATTGACACTTGGGTTGCTGGGGGTTAACGTGCAGCAGCAGAGCCGAATGCTACTCCTACTGGCTTGTGAGATCTGTGTTGAGATCCATTTTGGTGGTTGGTTTTTAACCTGAACTCTGTATTTTTTTAAATAGTAAAAAAATAAAAAAAGACAAGTAAAACACTTGAACACACAGAACAGAGAAATATGCTTAGTGTAGGTTTTGCAGTAACAACTTGAATACCAGACCATTGTAATTGTCTGCAGTTTCTCTTTTGAAACTTGAGAAATGATGATAAAAATCAAACAATTGATCAATTTTGCATGGTTAAAATAGAGATCCATGTAATGCTATGTCTTTGGATCTTTATGTATTTCATAGAGTTTGTGCTTGTATTTGTGCTCACATGGATACTTATTAGGAAAAAAAGCCTTGAGGTTGTGGTTCAGAGCAGGCTGCACATTGAGAGCATTGGATCTTCAATCCTAAACCGTTTATAACTAGACTTTTCCCCTCTTGCAGTTCAGGTCAGGCTGTGATTAGTTCTCCATCGCACTTGAATAACTCTTAGGAAGGACACAATTATGGCTGGTTATAAACATTGAGAAAAGCTTTCTGACATTTGGACAACAAAAAAACCAGCCTTTTAATTTTGGTCAAGTGTGTGGTGCTTCTGTTTGAAACCTCTCCACAGTAAGTACAGCCTACGTTGGTCCCAAAGCTCAGTTGGAGGTATTTCAAAAACACAGTCAGGAACACCAGGCATTTCTCTATGGTGTCTAGGTTTCGAAAGAAAATAAATTGAGCATGAGAGCTTGGGGAGTCATTCCATTCTAGAAGTATTCGGTCCCGTTTTGGAACAATCCCCCTATCTGTATATGTGTGAAATGTCCTTTACTACCCCTCATTACTACAAGAGTCAGATTTGCCATCTGAAAAAAAAATCTTTCCTTTTTTTTTTCTTTTGTATTTTGATAAACACTGAAGAAGCTGGAGCTGTGAAACTTTGTCTCGGGAAAAACTCAGAACTGGTTTGTTTGGTGTTGTGGAAACTCTTACTGCTTTCAGTACACACTTAGTAATCGACTGTTTTGTATACTTGTTTTCAGTTTTCATTTGGACAAACAAGCACTGTAATTAAAGCTATTAGAATAAAATCTCTGAACTATTTCATGGGGGTTTTTGGTACCTTAATACTACCTAAGTTGCTGATGACTCTGCAGTAATGATTAAGTGAAAGACTCTCCAGTCCAGACTGGTCACTGTAAGCTGGTCTGTGGTACTAGTAATTGGCAGCCACAAACTATTTTCCCCATTAAAGACTCCTGGCCTTTTTGATGATGGCAATAGTTTTCCCACATAATTCAAAGTTCTCAGTGATAATCATGTCAGCTGTAATGCAAGGTATAATGGAAAGAACATTTGAGTCCTGTGACACTTAGTATGACCTTGGGTAAGTCACTTAACTTTGGCCTCAGTTGTCTTATCTGTAAAATGAAAGTTCAACTAGGTGGCCCTGAGCTCTTTTCCAACTCAAGGTCTTTTGTAATGGGGATATAAGCTAGAAGCATTTCCAATAAGATTGGGGGTGAAACAAGGGTATCCATTATGACCACTGTTCAATATGGTACTGGAAATGTTAGCTTTAGCAATAAGAGAAGAAAAGAAAGAAATTGAAGGCAACTCTCAAGGTCTTTAATTCAGGGGACAGCTAGTAGCATTATTTCCATTTTGCTGATAGGGAAATAGGTTGTTGTTTAGCTAAAACATAGCCAGATTCGACCTGAAAGCTGCCTTCTAGCCCTCCAACCCCACCCCCATAGAAGCTAGAGTTGGAAGAGATTTTGCATGTGGTCTTAAGTTATTTTACAGCGGAGAAAACTAAGGCAGTAAATAACAGCTGGCATTAAAACCCAAATCATTTGACCCTAAATCCCAGTGTGTTCTCTGCTATCACAAAATGCCTCCTCAGTGATATATCCCTGTCATCCTTGGATACCCAGGTACCTGGTACATTGCTGTGTCCTAATCACTGCTTTAAGAAAAAGGTCTGGAAATTTTTACTATCACATGGAAAAATAAGCTTCCAAGTTTTACTATTGCAGGCTTACTCACAGAATACTTCACCTTCTATGGTTGTTTTGGTAATGCTTGTTAATGATGGAATTAAACTCTTGTGTGACTTTTGGCAATGCCCATTTAGAACCATATTTCTATGGCTTAACTTCATAATGTCCCTTTTCCTTAACGTGATGTTAATGGAACAAGTTATTGGGGCATGCTTCTGCTCTGAATTAGTAAAAGGCTGCCACGTTTCTTCCTTATCCCTTAATTTTCAGGTATTTGTTAGAACCACCACTCTCAGTGGCAAATTTAGACTTCCTTGAAGATAACCTGTTCATCAGAGGTATTAACTTGAGAACATTCTCCACAGGTGAAGCATCTATTTTTTTTTTCTTCTCATTTTTTAATAGCTTTTGTTTTTACCTCCACTTCAAATACATTCCTCCTCCCTCCCCTATCTCAGAACAAAGGGCAGCACATTCAGTGCTCTACTCTTTCAACTTTGCAAAGAACAGAGCAGCCTTCTCCTCTCTTACACCCTGAATTTGGTCACTTACCACACAGCTTCACTTTGGGACCTGTGTTCTAGAACAGAGCAGCAGGTGCCTTCTCCTTTACACCCTGAATTTGGTCACTTACCACACAGCTTCACTTTGGGACCTGTGTTCTTCCCATAGACACTGTTATGTATCAACTATGTGTATTTTCCTGGTTCTGCTTGCTTTACTTTGCTTCAGTCCATTTAAATGCCCCCATTCATCTCTGTTCATCTTCAGAGTTTCTTCTGTTGCAATAGTATTTTGTCACATTCTTGGACTATCATCGTTTAGCCATTTCCCAATCAATGGGCATCTAATTTTGTTTCCAGTTACTTGGTATCACAAAAAGTGCTGATCTCAATATTTTGGCCTATGGGACCTTCTTAGCTATGCCTTCTTTGGGTATAGGCCTTGAGGTGAGATCTCTGAGACAAACAGTATAGACAGTCACTTTCTTAACATTGTCCTAAATTGCAACACATGTGCTCTAATTAACCAAAGTATTCCACAGTCTATTTCTGACTGCCTTGGAAGGGATTTCAGAAAGGAGATCACAAAAACACCACAACCCAAGTGCCCTCTCCAGCCATGGCAGGGCCTTCTGTCACTTTGGCCAAGTGACTACTATCAGGACGGATTTCTTTGCAGCATGCCTAACCTAAATATACCCCTGTTATTTTTACCCATGGTACCTATGGCTTCTCTGGAGTCGAGCAGAACAAGTCATTTTTTCCTCTGCTGTGTGACAGCCCTTGAAATACTTGAAGAAGAACATGTCCTCCCCAAGTCTTCTCTTTTTCATGCCAAAGAGCCCCCGTCCTTTCAGCTGAGAACATATGGCACAAACTGGAGACCCTTCATTCTGGTTGCCTGTTTGGACACTACATCTTCTCAGTGTTCATTTGTCCATGAAGACAATCCAACTGCGATCTGAAACAGAACAGCCCATTAGCAAGTTCCAAATCTACTCTTGTTCCCTTGATCTCTCTACCTTTTTAGCAACTGTCCCGAAAAAGGAAAAGAAGTTAGTCTGGCCTTACCTGCTGTTGATGAAATCATTTTTCCCTTCGTGTGTCATATGATTTTGCTACGAATGAACTTTGGTTGTCACTGGCAGTGATTAAGCAATCCCATTTGCCATTTCTTTCCATTTGTGAGGGTATAGATTCTCTGGGCTTTGTGGCTTGAATATATGAAGAGTAGTTAGGTCCATTCTTTCTAGCTTCCTGCTACACCCTTTCAGCCCTGTCCTGGGGAGAAACTTCTTAACCTATATTGTAGTTCTTTCACATACTATTTAGAATCTGAAAGCATATCTTGCCTTAATTCCTCTTTGGCCAACCTCTTCTTGCAGCTTCATTTGATGAACAAGTAAGTCCTGTTAGCCTTAGGGGCAACTTTGTGAGAAATGTTTTGGGTTGTGGGTTGTTTTGGCACGGAGGAAGACGTAGATAGCAAGCCCAAGTTATCTTTTCTTGTCTTCAACCCCCTTTTGGGGACCTAGCTCAAGGGCAAGAGTAAGGGTTTGTTTTTTGGACGGATCAAAGCCTCCTTGCCCACCTCAGACTGCCTTGTCCAGATAGTTGAGTCCTTTGGCTCTCCTGATTTTGTTTCTCATCTGAAAGACAGAAATTGAATGTGCCAGTTATTTTAAAGCAGAGAAACAGTGATTATCTGTCAGCATTTGTTTACCAGGCAATCTCCATAAATCATCATAAACAGTAATTTTCTAGTAGAAGTCACCTATGTTTGCGATACAGATTGATTTAGTTCCAGCTTACCACTGTACATAAGAGTGTTCAGAAATGCTTGAGAATGTGTCCGTCTATCAGAGCTGAATGCGGTGTATCTAGCTTCTCAACAGGGAAGGTAGCAGTAATCAACTACAGGAATGAGGCAGGAAGCAGAAAAATATAGAATGTAGGTACCACTGCTTGGTGCTTGTTTACTCACATGCCAGCCCCAGTATACCCAGGGGAGAGGGAAGGAATAGGAATGTCTGTGATGGCTTTTTCAGTTTTAAAGTTGTTGTTTTTTTTTTTTCGAAGCACATTTGATGTTTACCTTATCTACAAAGATACTGGTTAGTCTTATTTGACCAATTCTTCCTCTGATGTACCCAACCCCATACTCTGGAAGTTTATGCCAATAGAGTCCAAGTTCTGCCGGATCAGAGACTCTTGTCCAAAGACCCGCCTAACTTAAGTGCAGAGTGGTTGAACATCTTAGTTGGCAACCAGCGTGTGAGTTGTTTTGGCCACAGCACTTCAGATGTTATAGAGAGATGAAGAAGTTGATTAGGATTTTGAGATTGGAAGGCCCCATGGAGAGCACTTGGCCGACCCCTTTTGTTTTATTTAAAATTTTTTAAAATACTATATTTTGATTTATCAACAATCACTTCCATAAGCTTTTGAGTTTTAAATTTTTCTCCCCCTCCCTCCCTAAGATGGTTCACAATCTGGTATAGGCTCTACATGTACATTCCTATTAAACATTTTCACATTAGTCATGTTGTAAGGAAGAATTAGAACCAATAGAAGGAACCACAAGAGGAAACAAGACAAGAAAAAGAGTAAATAGTCTGTTTCAGTCTGCATTCACACTCTGTGCTTCTTTCTGTGGATGTGGACAGCATCTCCCATCATGAGACTTTTGGAGATGTTCTGGATCCTTGCATTGCTGAGAAGGGCTAAGTCTGTCAATGTTAGTCATCGCACAACGTGGCTTTTGCCGTGTACAACATTCTCCTGGTTCTTCTCACTTCACTCAGCATCAGTCCCTGCAAGTCTTTGCAGGTTTTTCTGAAGTTTGCCTGCTGCCTTTTTTTAAATTAATTTATTTTGATTTATCAACAATCACTCCTATGTGCTTTTGAGTTTAAAATTTTTCTCCCTCCCCAAGATGGCACACAATCTGATATAGGCTATACATATATATTCCTATTAAACATATTTTCACATTAGTGATGTTGTAGGTAAGAATTAGAACCAGTAGGAGGAACCACCAGAAAGAGGAAACAAAACACAACAGAAGAAATAGAAATAGCAAATAGTATGCGTTGATCTGCATCCAAACTCCTTTCTTCTTTGTGGATAGCATTTTCCATCACCAGGCCTTTGGAGATGTCTTAGATCTTTGTATTGTTGAGAAGTCTATTAATATTAGTCATCACACAATGTGTCTGTTCCTGTGTATGATATTCTCCTGGTTTTGCTCATTTCACTCAGCATCAGACCATACAAATCTTTCCAGGTTTTTCTGAAGTCAGCCTGTTCATCATTTCTTACAGCACAATAGTATTCCATTACATTCATATACCACAACTTGTTTAGCCATTCCCTAATTGATGGGCATCCTCTCAGTTTCCAGTTCTTTGCCACCACAAAAAGAGCTGCTATAAATATTTTTGTACATGTAGATCCACATTTTTATGATCTCTCTGGGATATAGCCCTAGAAGTGCTATTGCTGGGTCAAAGGGTATGCACATTTTTATAACTCTTTGGGCATGGTTCCAAATTGCTCCCCTGAGAGAGGATTATACTGGGAGAAGGAGAAAGGGAGAAGTAGAATGGGGTAAATTATCTCACATGCAACAGATGAGAAAAGACTTACAGTGGAGGGAAAATGGGGGAAGGTGAGAGGGAGTGAGTGAATCTTATACTCATAGGATTTGGCTTAAGGAGGGAATAACATACACATTGGGGTATGGAAATCTGTCTTACCCTACAGGAAAATAAGGGGGAGGGAAGGGGACAGGAGAGCAGGGGGTTGATAGAGAGGGGAGGGCAAATCAGAAGCAAACGCTTCTGAGGAGGGACAGGGTCAAAAGGGAGAATAGAATACATGGGGGGTAGGATAGGATGAAGGGAAATATACTCAGTTTTTCATGACATGACTATGGAAGTGTTTTACATGACTACACATCTACAGTCTGTATCAAGATGCTTGCCTTTTCAATGAGGGTGGGTGGGGAGGGAGGAAAGGAGAAAATTTGTAACCCAAAGTTTTAAAAGCACATGTTAAAAATAAAAAAAATGTAAATCCTCCCCCCCAAAAAAAAAATATATATATATAATCATAACCCCCCAAAAAATGATTTTGGCAGCTCTGTGGAGGATAGGTTAAAGAGAGGAGATTTGTCTCAGGGAGAACAATTAGGAATTTGTTGCCACAGTTCAAGCACTCAGTAGTGAAGGCCTTTAAGGTTACCTCTTGTTGGGTGGCAAGGAAGGGAGGTCAAGGCCTTTCTTCTGTTCTGAATCTCTACAGGTACCCTAGTTTCTAAATGTCTCAGTCCCAGTCTCCATTTTGTGTTCTTTTGGTCAACATTCCTTCCCTGATCTCCCTCACAGACACCCAAGTATAGAGTACAATAAAAAAAAAATTGCTCCCTAAAATGGTTGGATCATTTCCCAACTCCACTAACAATGCGTTAGTGTTCCAATTTTCCCACATCTTCTCCAACACTTACCATTTTCTTGTTTTGTCATGTTAGTCAATCTGATAGGTGTGATGTGGTACCTCAGAGTTGTTTTGATGTGCATTTCTCTAATCGATAACAATTTAGAGCATTTTTTCATATGACTAGAGATGGCTTTAATTTTTTCATCTGAGAACTGCTTGTTCATATCCTTTGACTTCTCTCATTTTAAAGATGAAACGAGCCCAGAGAGGAGGAATTTTCCTGCCCCCAGGGTCACACAGCTAGTAAATAGCAGGGGTGAAATTGCTGCTTAACTTGGGAATGGAAGGCATGGGTACACTGCTGCAATGATGGGAATGAGAATTCTGCTCCACAGAAATTAAAATAAGTGCTGGCTGACATTTATACGGCACTTTGGGGCTTACAGAGCACTTTATGTAGTTCTCTCCATTACTCTTCAGTTTTGGGAGATAGGTGTAATTATCCCCATTTCAAAGATGAAGAAATGGAAGTTGAAGAACTTGTCCATTGTCACCTGGATGGCAGTTACATGTCAGATTATGTAAATAAACTTAGATTTGGCCACCAGCTTTGGCCACAATTTGCCTTTGAGTATCAGGCTAGGTAGGTGCGAAGAGAGACTCATCCACAGAGATGAATGGTTTTGGCCACAGCCATCCCACGACCACATTCATACTTGACACTGAGGGACTGTGACCCATGCTAACAAAAGGGAGTAGGCACAGGAAAGATAGGCAGCTAGGTGGCACAGTGGATAGAGCGCCAGGCCTAGAGTCAGGAAGACTTGTTTTTGTGAGTTCAAATCTGGCCTAGGACACTTGCTAACTATGTGACCCTGGGAGGAAGAAATGACAATATGTCCCGTATGTCTGCTAAGAAAACTCCAAATGGGGCCATACAGAGTTGAACACAACTGAAAACTGGGAAGATATTGAGATTATTGATTAGGAAAACCTGTTCAGTTGGGATATTTAAGCAGGGAGGTCAAATAATTGGTACGGCCCATTTGTGGTAGACTTGGGACAGGAACCCAAATCTACCTCCAAGCCTGAGCATAGTAGAGTCTTCAGTGTCTTCTCCCTCACCCCCAGTGCAATAATCCTTTGCACAGTCTTTTTGACAGGTAGTCACTCTGCTACTGGAATGCTTCTCTTGGTCAAAGTTTCTTCTCTACATTAGACAAAATCTGTTTCCTTCAAACTTTGACCTATTAGTTCTAGTGCTGCTCTCTGTGGAGCTTTACATAATGCTTCCTACAGGGTAGTCCTTTACTTAAGTTGTTGATTATGTCCCCTTTAATTGTTTTCTCCAGTTTTAAACATCTTCAGTTCCTTCTACCATCTCTTCCATGGGGACCCACAGGCTGGCCTCTTTGGGAGTCATCACTCATAGCCCATGGCACTGACAGGTATTTTGTCTGGCATAATAAGCTTTTCAGTTTAGCTTGACCTCTCCTATTGGTTGTGATCTGCCTGCCTCGTTGGAGGATGGTTTGAGCTTGGACAAGGCAAGTGAGTGTGCTCATCAACTGAGCCATTGGATGGACACCCCTCCCTTTTTTTTCCCATGCCATCATCACCCTTGCTCTGGCTTTTCCTCTCTTCAAAATCTTGACCTTTGAGTTGTCCAATTCCATTTTCCAATGACCTCTGCACTCATACTTTGCCCCCCTTTCCAATCATCACTCATCCCTTTCCAAACCCCAACCCACCTCCATTCCTATTTCAGTGCTGCAGAACAACTAGAGAAAGTCACGCTACTGGGCTACTGAATTCACTAAAGCTTGTTACCATCCTACCTAGGTCCTCACTGCTGCATGTCAATCCTTTCTCTTCCTTACTCTCCCACAGCACTTGTTTCAGACTTCTCATACTCTTTGCTCTCATCAGAGAGCTTTGTCTCATGCTTCGCTGAAAAAAATTAGACCATTTATAGGAAACTCTTCCCATCCCAATTCCACATTTCAAATCGTTTCAAAATCATCCTCCATTCTTTCATCCTTTGCTCAAGGTTTGTGATAAGGCAGCGTCTCTTCTTGATCCCATCCCCTCCTTTCTCCCGTATCTTGCCTTTTGGATAATTTTGATCCGTGACTTTCCATCTCTTATCCCTCACTGCTGCTTACAAACATGCCTTAATCCTACTCTTTAAAAAAACCTTCATTTAAGCCTGTTGTGCCCTCAAACTATCATTTTATCCTTTTCACAGCCAAACTCCTAGAAAAAGCTAAGCTCATTACTTCCCACTCCTCAGTCCTTTGCTATTTGGTTTTCACTTCCTGCCAAGGTCACCAGTGGTCTTTATGGTC